TATATATATATATATATATATATATATATATATTGAAGTCAATAGTAATAATTTGCTTGATTAAATTTTTTTCTTTAAAATTAATTAATTCACTCATTCATTCATTCGTTTGTTTGTTTGTTCACATTGGTACGTGTGATTTGTCATGTTTAAATAATTACAATAATTATAATAATTATTATTATTATCATTGTAACTTTCGTTATTACCATCAAACATGTTGTTCATCTAACCTTCGATAATTGTTCATAATTATTATCATTGTCATAATAATTATAATTATTTATATTGTTCTGTAATTTATTTCTAAATTATTCTCATAAAAAAAACCGAAATTCTGACGTTCATTTTTCATTTTATTCGTAAATCAGATGATAAAAACAATTGAAAAGTTCATAATAAGGTTACGGGTTGAACGTACTGTAAGAAAGTTGGTTGTTACTTAGCAGTAACGACAAACAACCATCTCGCATAACAATAAAACAATCTATAATAATATTCACATAATATTATCAAGGGAGGGCCAGTGGCGTGAGGGCTAAAGGCGCCCGGTCCTGCTGTTGCAGTGACCTGATTCAATTGCAAAAAGATCCCCTTCTATCATGTGCAATGCGTAGTTTTCACGCGCGTTGATACATCCGCATAAAAGAAATTGACCTTTATTTAACCTTTTAATTATAATCATAATTATATTGTATACAATCATAATAATAATTATTTAACACACGTACACACACACACGCTAAGAAAATTGTTATGTATACTTCATTAATTAGTTGAAATAATTTTAAGAGGCATGAAGAAACAGTTAATTTAGCGAAAATTGTTAATTACATTATTGTTATTATTATTTTTATAAAAATTTAAAATAACATTAATAACAATAACACATTATTATTGTTATTATTATTCAATTGACGTCGTTATAAAATCAAACACAGTCAGAGAATGATGAAATCACGTGAAGATACGTGCACTATATGGTGATTAATCGTCTCCTCGTTGTTGTCATCCCCTCTTTTTACGAACGACTTGTGTGTGAGTTGCATGTTACAGAAAATAAACTGTTTCGTCATCGTCACAAACAATGAAATCATGTATGTATGTGTGTATGTATGTGTGTGTGTGTGTGTGTGTGTGTGTGTGTGTGTGTGTGTGTGTGTGTGTGATGAGTGATAATTTTTTGCTTTATTTGTTTGAAAGGACTAGAAACTAGAAAGTGATTAATTTCCGATTAACATTTGATGGTGTTTATGTGAACAGGAGCGTACGTGTGTGTGTGTTTGAAGCAGATAACGAAACATATATATTATATAAAACATCATTTTTAAAACAAAGCCCAACAATTTTGCATAATTAATTTCAAGATCAATTAGCGAATACGATAAATAACAATGATAATTTGAACGTCGCAGTAATAATTCAGCAGAGGAGTAACGATAAAAACTTTGATGTAGGATGTTGCGAGATGAGCATTTGAATGGTAACAACGTCAATTCATAACAGAGGAGACAGAAGAGAACAGAAACAAAGGAGAGAGAAGTTAAGCGGAGAACTAGTTAAGCGGAGAAAATAGGATTGATTAGTCGCCAGTTTGATTAGCTACAATTAGTTCGCTTGCATAAATGTAAGTTCCTTTAAACGGTCTACATCTAATTAATTAATTAATCAATTACTAATAAGTTAGTTCCGAATAAGTGTAAGACGAATCTAAAATGTAAAATAAAACATTGGAAACAGAAATAGTAATAAATGTAAATGTATTAACGCACGATGATGCATCATACAAACGCGGATTATGTGCTGCTCGTTAGACCTGTTTCAGATCTATTTTCAATTCTCTGCCTACCCCTACATACAATCTCTTTTTCAGAACCTTCCCAGAAAGGAGCACACACACACACACACACACACGCACACACACACACACACACGCACACATGCACGCACGCACACGTAAGATCTGGAGCTATATTTAAACGTGTTGTTCTTCGTCGTAACAGGTTACTTGTCATGGTGACGAGTAACCTAGAAACGTTATATACAATTTATAACATACCTACAGAAACTATTAGCAGACAAGACAAGAACAATAGACGCATCATTAACGTCATCTAGCTTGTACATAACATAACCACGTGACGATGACGACATACGTTACTTGCTATGATGACGGCCAACAAGAGCAGTAAAAATACCAAACAAACCGTCATAAATATTTGGCAGCACTGTAAAATGTTTAAAAAAAATCAAAATTATACTGTATGATTAACTTTTTGATCTGTAAGAGGTACGTTAATATGAATGTTGGATCATAAAATATACCACGTATGACATGATTCTCAAGCAAAAATTCATATGCTGGTATAACGACAAACAGAACACACACAAATTATGTAAAAAAAAACATCAGTTAAACAGATGAACACTGAATGAACCATTCAAATTAAACACAATTCACTCACTGCAAACCATAATAAACGCCATATATAGCGTTGCATTATTAAAAACTATTAAATACATTAACGGTTAGTTTCATTAATGTTACTGGTGTAATGTAAAACGTATAATGTAAATAGGATGTAATGTTATGTAATGAAATGTGTTTGGAATGATGATTGAGATATATATATATATATATATATATATATATATATATATATATATATATATATATATATATATATATATACATATATATATATACATATATTGGATTAAGACTGTCAGAGATGCAATTACCGATGAAAATCACAGCATGTTCCGCATTAGTTAGCTTCCTGTTGAAAATATATAATTATATATGCATATATATTGCTGTGAAGCATTTTATTTATATAAAATAAAAATGAAACATTAAGATAAAAAAAAACCAGCACACTGGTCATAATAATAGCGAAATAAATTGTGATTGCAATATAACCGAAGCAAAAAGGTCTCGTGAATTATGAACTAACTTACAATACCATTTCAACGAATTCCATTTATCTCCATTACTGATTAAAAAAAAAAAACTCAAAGAAAAAAATCAAAAAAGCTAAATCGACGCTTGGTACAGGAAAAAATTCAACAAAGGTGGCGGGACTTAGAGGGTAATTAATAACGTTATTATGATGTAACCAATTGATGAACAGTTAATACTCTGACAAGATAGTTAGATTAAATTAGACAAGGTAATTTTGGTACCTATTACATTGTTTCACATGTCTTGTGCACACACAAAAGCACACATACACATACATACATGTATACATACATGCATACATATATACATACATAGAGTAATATATGAACACTCAAAAATGCATATGCATAAACAAGATATACACAAAATTACTTACAAACACAAACACACATTCACCCCTCAAAATGCATATCACAATGATTTTGATGAGTCGTTGTTTTGTGGTTTTGCGCTAAAAAAATTACAAAAAGGCTGTGCTGTATAGAGAAGTAAAATTTAGAGGCAAAAGTCAGCAACATACATTGCGAATACACACACACACACACACACACACACACACACACACACACACACACACACACACACAATAAGGGTTAAAATATCTTAAAAAGGTTAAAAATATCACTCACTAAATCTCTTCAACGATATTCATGTTACAGTCTTACGTTGTGACAATGTTACATTATGACGTTACCTATCTGACGACATGAAAGAACATCGGCGAAGAGAGTGCCGAGAAATGTGATGATGAAAGTTGGTGATGATGAAACTTGGTGATGAGGAAACCTGGTGATGATGAAACCTGGTGATGATGAAACTTGGTGATGATGAAACTTGGTGATGATGAAAGTTGGTGATGATGAAACCTGGTGATGATGAAAGTTGGTGATGATGAAACCTGGTGATGATGAAACCTGGTGATGATGAAACCTGGTGATGATGAAAGTTGGTGATGATGAAACCTGGTGATGATGAAAGTTGGTGATGATGAAACCTGGTGATGATGAAAGTTGGTGATGATGAAACCTGGTGATGATGAAAGTTGGTGATGATGAAACCTGGTGATGATGAAACCTGGTGATGATGAAACCTGGTGATGATGAAACTTGGTGATGATGAAAATTGATGGAGAAATGTGAATGAACGTTAGTGCTAGCCTACTTGGAGAACAGTGGAGATAAGATGACAAGGAAAATGATCTGAGCACTTCAATGATGCGATGAAATGATGATGGTGGCTATGATGAACATTTGAAGTGATCTGAACACCATTGGACAGCAGATTAACAAAATTTAAATAAAAAATAATTCGCAAGTCAAACTAAGACGACGAAGTAAATGTACGAACGAAGTATACAAATCTAACGGATTCTAGCAAAGAAGATAAAGCCAAAAATCGCAAACAAGCAATTCATCTTCATCGTCTTCATCGATCAGATCAAGATTCTTAACAATAAACATTAAATGAAAAAAAGACACGCAAGAAACTAAACGAGAATCACAAAACCGTAAAAGCCGATATATACAATAGTAAGAAATTTCATAAGCAGTCTTTTTATTTATTATATTACAGTGAATCGATTTAACTCAACACTTATTTACTTAATTTATTTAATTTAATATTCAATTAATTATAACTAGCTCAAATCGTAATAAGAGTAAATGACAATAATAAATTTCTTAGACTAAAAATGAACATAATCGATACGTAAGAACACATACGTTGCTGATGTTGCTGTTGTTGTTGCTGTTGTTGTTGTTGCTGTTGTTAACGAAAGCATCATTCAGTTAATACTATTTAATACTTTGTCTATTAATTATTATTTTAATGAACACGCATACACATACTTACATACGCGCGCACACGCACGCACGCACACACACACACACATAAAAAATAATAACATTTATTTTGATTAATGCTTATTTATTTATGCTGGAAGATTAAAGATTAAATAAAAGGTTAGACCGATACTAATTATTCTTTGCCTACCTCTACATATAAGGGAGAGAGAGAGAAAGAGAGAGAGAGAAAGAAAGAGAGAGAAAGGGAGAGAAAGAGAGAGGGAGAGAGTTGGCGCTAACTGGGTTCGTATGAGTTGAAAAGATGAAGAGTAGATTATCTCAATAGGTCTGTTCTTCTTTGCACTGATCTAAATTATGTCCAAAAACTGTGAGGATGATAAATAATAACATCTATATTCTCATCATCAGCATTATCATAATTATCATCATGGTTGAGATCGACATCATCATCATCATCCTTATCATCATAGCCATCTCCATCATCATCACTACTTACCTTCACACGTGGTACAGTAGGGTCTTTCCTCGTTGGGGTCCCCGTGGTAATGTGATGCGTTCATGGGACTTGTCCCGGAGGAGCCAACACCCCCTCCGCCATTTTGTTTCGGGCAGTCTTCGGTGTCGTGCTGGTCGAACATGTCACAGATGTCGCAGAATGGACGAATGTTCGTCAGGTTGGCATCGCTGGAAATTTTTATTGGTCTTCGTGAGTTTTAATGCCAAGGTTATCGCGATTGTGATTGGTTGGTGGATGTTAATTTCAATGTTAATACCAGCCCAGTGACTGTTGATTGGTCGGGTGAGAATTAATGTGAAGGCTACAATATCGCTATGATGATTGGTTGGCAGAAGTTACTATTGTAAACATTAAAGTAAGTCGATACCATAAAACCATAACATTACATTAAGTATTGAATGTTTGTTTGTTATTTTGTAGAGGCATGAGGGAAAAAAACCAGATGTTAGAAGATATTTAACAAATGAGCCACCTAGCGAGGAACTTCTCGAGAGCACTGTCCGTCATAGATTTGGAGGATTCCAGTAGTTGGACCTTGTTCTCCAGGTCCGTATTCTTCCTCTGTAGATCCACTATCACCGCGTTCAGGAAGTCAATCTGACGGCGATGATGGTGGTGACGATGAAGACGATGGTGACGATGATCATGATGAAGTAAAAAGATGAAAAAAAAATTTAAGACGAAGCTCGCTGAAGGCATTCTTAACATTGACATGACATAAAAAAAAGTATAAAAATCAGTAGTATTTGAATTTGTGAGATAACTATCTAACAAGCTCCTTTACAAACACAGTTGATTCCTATGTAATAAACAAAAATGAGTGATACATAAGGTGCGTTGGTATTCATGCAGGGCAACAAACAGTCTTCCCATCCCAACAACCAACTTGCGATACAGCAGCCTCCTTCTCTTGTTTCAACCTTCCTGCATCAGTTGATTCTGTTGGGAGAGATTTTCAAAAGTAGATAACTGACCACGGGCTTAAACGATAGAGTATACAAGATCTGTTTGCATATTTCATTTTTTTTTACACTTAAATGATTTCAAGTTGACTAACCACCGTTGTTGTTGTTGATGTTGTCGATGTCGTTGTTGTTGTTGTTGTTAGCGTTGTTGTTGTTGACTTGATTATCGTGGATGACTTTTTCGAGCTGTTTGATCCTCTGCTGAAGCAACTTGATCTCCTGGTCATTCACCTGTGGCAGTATGGGCACTTTTGTGTTCTTCAGCTCGTCATTCAACCGAAACACCTGCAAAAAGTGATGAGGAAATTATTTTTCAAATTATTCATTATTCTAGAAACAGCAATGAAATAAAACAAGATACTATTGAAATATATAAAGCAGTTAAGTTTTAAGCCGGTTAATCTCAATTAAAATAGTTTTCTCATTCCCACCCACTACAAAGATGCACCAACTCAAAGATGCATCAACTACAAATAAATACACAATCCACAATAAGTGGGAGTCGTTTGAATTCGAACCAGGCTACTCCAACACGAGACAGTGGATACTTAAACAATTAGGCCACCAGAGCAACTAATTAAAAAAAAATCTTGAAAGCAGACGCAATGTAAGACCTCCTTTTGGAGGGATTTGATGGTGGAGTCCTTCTCTTTCATCTGATCCTCTGTGCAGCTGTCCTTGTTTGACCTCGCGAACCTGCAACACAAGTTCAAAAAATAATAATAAAAAATATTGAATACTAACAACAACAACAATAATAATAATAAAATAAATAATAATAATAATTATAACAGTTATTATTATTATTGAAGGTTATAACAATAAACAGCTTATTGTCATTATTATTATCATCGTATTATGATGTTGTTAGTTAAATATGAATGAATATACTATCAACAAATGATGATACCTTTCATGCTGGTTGTTCTCAGACTGTTGGAATGTTCAAACAGAGTAGGAATAAAAAGTGAACAATAATTCAATAATAAATAAGTTAATTAAATATTTGGAAAATAAATTTAATAAAATAATTCCTGAGCATAACATAAAGTTTATTTGAAAAAAAATACAGTAATCTTTGAAAAATATTCATTGAGAATAAACAAATAGAATGGATGACGCCGAGATCAGTAACTAACTAATGATTGTAATGTCCAAAAAATGCTTATAAACAAACAAACATAACAAATAGGCAAACAAACAAACAAGCAAACGAATAGACAAACAAACAAGCAAACGAATAGACAAACAAGCAAACGAATAGACAAACGAACAAACAAATAGACAAATAGACAAACGAGCGAACAAATAGACAAATAGACAAACGAGCGAACAATCATCTGACCTGCTTCTTATCAAGTAGCGCCAACTTCAGCTTCTGCATCTCCATTATGATGGCATCTCTCTCATTGTTGAGGGCCTGCATCTGATTCGTCAGATCTTCCACTTGCTTTTTGTAAGGCGTCCTGTAATTCGTTAGACATTAATGGATATAGGAATAATTAAGCAATCACCCTCGTCCCAGCAGTCACCAGCTAAACTTCTATCAACCACAAAAGAACATTAACAGACAACATGCAACAACAAGCAACTAACAAACAAACAGCCATACAACCAAACAACCAACGAACAAACAAACAGCCACACAACCAAACGACCAACGAACAAACAAACAAAAAACCAACAAACGACTTACAGCTGTTGTATTTGCAGCTGCAGAACTTGAACTTCTAGTTCAGCAGCTTCGGATTTTTGCTTCATTTCATCCATCCTGCCTGTGTAGTCTGCCGTCAGCTTCTCAACCTATCACCACCACCATTGTGTGTCAGGCGATGACATCCAACAGTCGTTTGAACAAGATCGCAAAAGAATAAACTTTTAAATAAAAAAAATGTAAAACACCAAAATGATTAAATGTTCAGTGAGCCGTTTGTATCCGACAAATCAATTTGACATCATGATCATTAATTTTTACTAAAATGAAGCCAGGCAAACATCGATGAATGACTGTCTCCATAGCAGCATACGTAAAGCTGTTTATTTTATAACGCTAAACCATTACACCTTCCTCTTCCGCCACTTCCGTTCTTACTCGCTTTTTTTCGTTTCCTCTTTTTTCCTACTTTCTCTCCCCTTCATGCATAACAATTCATTCCCAAAACAACCCAATAAAGTATATTATGTATGCTGAAATCAGTCTCACTTGCATCAAACCAACCAACCAACCATCTGTTCGAAGTTTCTGATTTGTACTCCCGTCTCTTGCATCAGCTTCTGATTGGACGACTTCTCGCGGACCAACTTGTCTCGCTCGCCAATCAGCTTCTTGTGCTCATCGATCAGGTTGTTCAACTCCATTTCAATCTTCAAATTATGAAGATGGTACGTTACGTAATAACAACGACGTTTGTGGGACAACATGGGAATAAAATGATAATGCAGTTAAAACATGTTGTTGTTTGCAGTTTAATTAAATCATCCTAGGCATAACTCCGTTGTCTCATCAAGCAATCATCTTCTCAATCAACCATTAGTCAATCAATTAACTAAGTCAAAGTATGCATTTGCTTGCTCCATTATTGAAATATTTCACCCACCATTTAACCATTCAACCAACTAACAATTCATTTTGTTTGACTAACAATTCATCTCCCAACCACCTCCCAGCAGCAAACTTCATCCATCGCCGTCACTCACCAACTCTTTCTCAGCTGAAACTTTCTTAACAGTTCCTTCAAGTTCGGTTTTCTCTGACTCGACAAAAATTTTCTGCTGGTTCAAAAGTTTCAGTTGGTTGTTCAGCTTTCTGTTCTCAACCAACAACCTCTTGTGAAGATGGTGGTGGTCAGCGATGTCCAAGCTCCCATTGCTCTGGTCATCATCGCCACCATTCTCCTACAAAATATTTAGGAATGGTCAACGAAGCTTCTTAAAATAGAATGATTTAAATTTAAAAAAAAAATTCGTTTCAATTTGCAGAAAAGCTTTCGGGAAAATGATATTTCAACAGATCCGATAATGTTTGACATCCCACTGGTAGAAACAATCAACGAAACGACACCAACAAAAACAAAACCTGCCAGCAACGACCACAACATGAAAACACCAAACAGAACGTACCATCTCATCGTCATTACTATCAGCAGCCAGGTTATCCATATCCTTGCAACAAGATTTGCAAATGTTAACGGATTTTATCTAAACAAATAAAAATATATAATTATACATTGTGAACATTTTCAACAGTGAATTGTCAAACATTCAACAAAAGTATGCACTGTGAAGATATTCAATGGTGAATTTTCAAACTTTTAAGAAAAGTAGCCGCCTAAGTAAGAGACGCTGCAGTTCATCTACTTTTAAAACATTTATTCAATATATCCATGTGATTTGAATGTGTGGATTCAAGAATACATGGTACATGGCTTGCACAAGGCTCGACACGTGCAATATACATTCATTCATACATACATACATATATGCATACATACATATATGCATACATACATATACGTACATATATATGTATATATATATATATATATATATATAAGTACATACATACACACATACATTTTCTACATATATATATATTTATACAATACACTCAAAACATTTAGAAAATATAGTTCCTTACAGACATAAGATTAAAGTGGAAGTACAAATATGAAAGCACTTGTACATTTGAAATTACTTTCATTTTTAATGTTTTCAAAGTTTTGACTTTTTTAAATCTTCAAAATAGTAGAATAGTAAAATCAGTGCGAGACTTGACATAACATTTGGCGAATGAATGAGCAATTATTATAACTGATCTGCAATGAAATTATTTTTTTGATTTTAACCAAGAATGTGAGGATGTGAGACATGAGAGGACGAACCGGATACTGCTTGGAATATGGTGCATCAATTTCGTCCAATGAAATTTGCATAATTATAATTATGCAAACTTCACGAATAATTATCCGTGAAGTTCTTATATTAGTTAGTGCGTGACATGTAACTACTTCTCAAATTGAAAATAACCAACCAATCAGTTAGCTAGCTAGTTGTTGGAACGAATGGAGCATCATATGCAAATAAAACAGAACTAAATAATTTATATTTAATACAAAAAAGATACGTCAAATCATTGTTCTCAAATGATTATTTCAACAGTTCCATAAATAAAAATATATTTTTTGATAACCAAATTATGGCTGTTTATGAAGTAAATAAATATAAAACATGTTTATTAATTTTTAGAATTATTCATGAAAATAATAAACTAAATAAACACATCATAAATTTAATTGAATACAATAGAATTTCAAACACCCGATCTAATGATAAACTTTTAATTAAAACAAATTTAATATTGAATAAAATTAGTGCTCATCAGTTTTTCTATTATGCGCCGTTGGTTTGGAATGGACTGCCATTTTATTTGAGGGCTTTGACAAATTATAATGATTTCAAAATTCAATTAAAGACCTATTTCATATGTTTGTCATAATGTTTTATAATTTTTTGCATATAGTTACTTTTGTTTTATACATTTTCTTGATTGGGTTTTGTGCTTAGATGTGTGCGCATGGGTGTTGTGTTCGAATGTTTGTCTATATGATGTACAATTGGAAATTACTATTATATTATTAACAGCCAAATAATGTTTGATCATAACTATTTCCGTTATTACTTTTTTGTGTGTGATCAATTGAATATGTGACTTTAAATGTATGGAATGGATGTTTTTGGGGTTGGCTGAAAAAAAACACTCGTAGTTATGCTGGACCCTTTTTTTCAAAATTATTTTTTAATGTTTGAAAAATAAACGGATAAAAAAAAATATGCGCAACAGTTGTTACGTTATATATATATATATTTTTTTTTACAATATTCTATTACCAACATATATATATATATATATATATATAGCCATGCGTAGGATTACGCATAAGTATAACACACATACACGAGGGCACAAGAGAATAAGCGTATACATGTTGACAATGCGTACAGAACATTACGCAAGCAGCTCTATGTACGAAAGCTGGACGGACGTGCCTGGTCAATATGCCTTATATAATGCAATGTGCGAGTGTTCGCATCAAACATACGCAATTATTAATTCTTTCAAGTTTAACAGTTTCTCACAAACATTTCATGTTTATTTATTTATTTATTTAACCGTGAACTTAATGAATGAATCATAATTGAACAATTTATAATTTTTTTAAACATATTTTTTGCACAAGTCAGCTCTGTAACAATTTTTTCTTGTCGAATGAAAAATTCGTTATCGGACTAGAATTAAACATAATATATAAATAAATATTTAAAAGCAGCAATTTTGAAATGTCTGAGGTGCCACAGCTTCAAAAAAAAACTTATTTCCAAATCAAAAACTCACCGAGCCAAAATAAATTTCAATTATTGGCTTTTATCAAGTTTTCAATTTCCGTTCTGAAAAACCATTAAGCGTTTTAACAAGAGATGGAAAACGGCCCGATGGTTGCAACTTGATCTCTTTAAAAAATTATGGGTGCTTTGTAAAACGACACACACACCTGACCACCAGCAGAGAGTCGCAACCAAGGCATCGGAAAATTTGAGAAAATAAAAAAATTTGTAATCTCCTCTTACATAATAACCATTTATTCATGCTGATTTTAAATTATTCTTTCCTTTTTTTGATAGCCACTGCAAACATCCTTCATAGATTAATTTTTAAATTACTAACATGTTCTGTTCTGGAAGGATGTAAAGAGAACTGGAAAGAAGAAGATGCTCCAGCAACAATGGAGACTGCGGTAGTCGAGCATATTAAATTAATAGTAGAGTGCGTCCGTCCACATGGTAAAGTAAAAAAATTGTCTTAATGCAGATTTGTTATGCCAGATTTAGCATTACACAAACCGTCTTATCTCAGTTCAAAGCTTGACTATCCATAGTTTCCTAGAAGTACATCTAACTGACGGTATACGACGGTTTCAAAGGTGCCCAGATTAATGATAACACAGACGTTTGCCTGGATAGCTGCTGATCTTGAGAAATTATTTTGCATTTGCACCCTAGATTTTCTGCAACTAACGGTTTAAGAAAAAAGGGTCATTAGACTCAGCAGTACATTTGACACCAGTTCTACAACTGATAAAAACCACAAATAAGACCAAGCAAGCGTAAGAAAAAAAACTGATCTTGTTTCGAATGAGGTTTTTTTTCAATTCATTCGTTTAGGATTAATATCGCAGCAAACTTTTCCGACGTTTGTTGAATATTAAATTTCTTCATATTTTTGACACGAAAATTCTGATTTTTTAAAAATAATATTGCTTGATCTAGATGTCTCCAACGATATATTTGATGTTTTTAGATTAGGCAAAAGATCTGAACAGTCACAAAAGTACAGACCAATTTCGATTAAGTTGAATAACTAAAGTATCAAAAGTTAATTGCTATAAATTGAAAAGAAATGAAAATATTAAGAGAGCAATGACTTGACTTGATAAAAGATAGAAGAGGATAAAGAAGAGTTATAAGTAAAAAAGATAAAAAATAGTGGTAATAAAAATATGACTGGTGGTAGTAATAATAACAGTGATAATAATGATTGTAATAATAATGCCACAAAAAATGTACGTACTACTTCTATTTATAAATTTGTCGTTATTACTGACTATGGTGAAGATGACTTCAACTTTATAAGGCCTTAAACTTTATCGCCACCTATAAATCCTAACCCTCTCCTCCACTACTAACAGTACCCTTCAACAACAACAACAACTGAATTATTATTTCTATGATTATTACTATCAACGTTATTTATATGTTTATTAGAACAACTAACATTTCTTAACAGGAACTGTTATTTTGATTGACCATAAATTTTTTGTGATCTTTCACCTTATTGACTAAATAGCGACGAATTTTCAAATCTAGAGAAAAAAACTCATGACATTTTTTGATTTAACATTCTTTTTATCATTATTATTATTTATAATTATTATTATCACAAAATTTTTTATTCTGTTTTTCGTATAAATAATTACTAATACAGTATCTTAGATATGTAATTTTCATCTTACACTGATGAAAATGCATGTGTGATTTCGTGACGTTTACCTTTTTAAACTGGCATAACCATTCCATGCGATGCAATTACATTTTAGTAATATGTCAGTGGTTATTGTTAATAATTTTAAATATCATTAAATACTTGGAACAACCTAAAACGTTTTGTCAAAACTTTTGAACGCCGAATGCTGAACTTTTGAAAGTTGAAATGCAAAGCTGAATGCTCAAATTGTTTTGTTACTAACCATTTTGAATTCGAATTAATATTTCAATTTTATAAGTAATCAATACTTTCGTTTTAATTAATGCTTTAGTTCTAATTAATTGATTAATTTCAATTAATATTTTGGTTTTAATTAATATTTTAATTATAGGTATTTATTATTATCGTGTTATTAATTTAATTTTAATCAGCAGGATTAATCACCCCATTCACCTCTCACATCACAAACATCACATAAATAGACTATATCATCACAGAATGCAGCATCACTTTTAAAGAAATATACCATAATTTAAACGAATAATCAATCCAGCCAGACAAAAGTTTAAAGATTAGCAATTTTAGATCATCACAATCAAAAAATTACTCAAAAAATACTACACCCCAAGTGACATCACAAACCTCGACGCCTGCCGCCTCAAGGGCTCTCAGCTTGTTCTCCGTGGTGCACAGTTTGTGGGTGAGCTCCTCGATCTGGTCCAGATATTCGTCAACAGGATCGTCCTTGTCCATGTCGATCAGCTTCAAACTCTGGTCAGGGTGATGGTGGTTTAGTGTTTATTTCATTATTGTTAATCTACCTGATCCGCGATGTGTGTAGAGTGATAAAGTTTCAACATGCATGTGTGAAATGTATTTATTTGTTTGTTAAACAAATAGTTAAACAATTAAATAAAACAAATTAACAATAATTCAACACAATTTATACATGAAATCAGTTGCTTTCATTGTCACATGCATCCAATCAAACAAAACACTAAACATCATACAACTGAAAAAAAAATGTGTCAAGATTTGGAAACGAACCTTCAATTCATTGGATAGTTTATCCTTCATGTTCATCTCATTCTTCAACTTCTCATCCAACTCTTTCAACCTGCGCGCATCTTTATCCAACTGGCTCTGTTGAGTAAATCCACTACAATTATTATTATCCAAATTTGCCACAGCAGGTTATAGCTTAGTAGAAAACAAAAAAAGAGAAAAGATAATAAATAATAATTCAATAGCCACCTGGATGTCATGCTTTTCGATGTTCAACTCCTCTAATGAAAACTGCATGTCTTCCAGTTTCCTGGTCAAAAAATAAGGTGAGTGAATAATTGCATGATGATGAAAATGATGATGACAGATGGCGGCAGTGATGGAAATATTAACAATAATGATGAAAATGTAAGTAATTATAACAATAAACAATGATAATGATGAACCAACCAATCAACCAACAATTAACCAACCAACCAATCAGCTACTCAACCAACCAACCAAGCAGCTACTCAACCAACCAAATAACCAATCAATCAATTAAACAACCAACCAACCAACCAATCAACCAACCTCTTCTCTTCAATCAGCTGCATCTTCAGATCAGCCTTGGAACTTTCCAGCTTGCAGATGAGCTCCTTCGCTCGTTCCAACTCCTCACTCATTCCGGCTTCATATTTTTTTTTCTCCGACTGCATCAACATCAACTGGCTTTCCATCTGTGTGATAAGTAAATGAATGAATGAATTAATGAATGAATGAACGAACGAGTGAATGACTGTGTGAATGAATAGATAGATAAACGAATGAAAGGAAGTAATTAATATTAGCAACAAATTATTTCATAGGCCTCAAATGTAACCGCCATCATCATCATCTTCACTATAGAGTGTAATCATAACATTGTCATAACACAATCATTCAATGAAGCCAAAAACATCAACTGCTTATCATATCATGCCATTCGTCATCCAACAAATTAATTTAATTAATTATTCAATTGAAAAACACCCTCATCACTTTTATTGTCGTCATCATCATCATCATCACACAATCACCATCATAATCCACCTCGTCAACTTGGGCAGCAGTCTTGATGAACTCTGACCTATCGAGGTCACGCTCCTTGATCAGCTGTTCCACGTGTTCCTCCTTCTCTTTCAATGCTTTCTAATATGTGTGCGTGCGTGTGTGTGTGTGCGCGTGATTCTTATTATATGCGAGTGTGTTTGTATGTGTGTGTGTGTTGAAGATTGTTAATTGTTACAATGTGACAGTTTATGTGACATCCTGACGATGACGACAAAAATGGTAATAACAAATGAAGACGACGATGACATACCTGTAGAACAGATAAAGTGGATGTGCCGTACATGGAACCTTTACTCCTCGACAACTGGAGGAAATGGGACAAAATAAAATGAAAAAAAAAATAACTTAGATTCATTCACACACTTTAAATTTAATTTAACTTTCATAAAACTTTCTACATTCTTTCTCTTCCCATTCGTCGTCATCATCACCATCATCATCATCATCAATAACAACAACACTTCCGTTGTTAATGCTATTACATTTCCTAAATATCATCAATATTGCATACATTAACAACAAATCTAAAACAAATACTAAACGGGATTTCCAAGTGACGTCACCCCTAACTTGAGTCGCCTGCTGGCACTTGAGGCGGCCGACCCGATGGAACTAATCGACTCCTGACTACCTCTGCTGTTCATTATGTTGTTGCTGTTGTTGGTGTTGTTGCTCCAACTGGCCGTCATGAGGTTGTTGTTGCTGCTGTTGTTGATGTTGCTCAATTGGTTTTTTATCTGATATCGATGGGATGAGATTTGGTGTGGTTGATGTTGAAAGTTTTGTTGTTGTTGTTGCTGCTGTCTATGTTGTTGCTGCTGTTGAGATCTGATGCCAGCAGGTGTAGCAGACGTTGGCAACAATCTTGCCATCACTTTGCAGATCTCAACTTTGTGGATTGGAGCGAAGAGTCCGTGCATTGGAGTGCATTGGAAGTATCTTCAATGGATTAGTTATTCATAATTCATTATTCAGATTTTTTACTCAAACTTTTAATACTGAAATTATCTACATAGTTAGCCACATCAACCACACAAAACGTCAACCACGCACGCAACACACAGACCACCCAACCACCTAACTAACCTTTTGCCGGCCACCGATCCATCATTCTTCCCCAGAGGTTCCCTCAAATCCACTCCAACCCAAACTCCTTTCGCAAACTCAGCCTCTCCGATGAACTTCACAATTCCATTTTTGCTGCCACTAACGACCACATGGTCACCTAATTTGAAAGGTAGACTGGATAAGTTGGCGGCAGAAGAGTCAGATGTTTGATTATTAGTTAGATCATTTGATAATTGCTTGCCCGATCCGTGACTTGAATTCGAACCGACACTCGTCTTGCGTCTGGGTAGGGCACTCAATGGAGTGACAGATGGCTGGCTAGGAGTACTGAATGCAGAACCAGGAGATGTTACAGAACTGTTTATGTTGATGTCTAGAACGTTTAAACTGCTGTTGTTGCTACTGCTATAATAGGAGTTGATGCTGTCGTCGTTATTTGTGTTGGGTGTGCCTATGCAGCTGCCATCTGCCGTCGTGCCTGGATTAAGGATGGGGTTGGTGACGTTGTTGTGTTGCTGTGGTTTGTTGGGTGTCGTTAATATGGAAGGAGTAGCCCTCTCAGACATATTTTTCAACATTTTTTGTTGCTTCTGTTCTGATTTCGAAGAGGAAGATGATGATTTTTGGGACGATTTGTCGGATGCATTGTCTGGACTGTCAGTTCCTTTGCTGCTCTTTTGTCAAATAATCAGGCATATTAAAAGACCAAATTATATTCAAATAGGCACAACTTTTTCTACAAATGCAAAATGTTTAAGAATAAAAGATATTATACTATAACTCAAAAAAATGTTTAGAAAAAAACAAATAATAGAGGTTATTCAGCTAACAGATGTACTGAGGCTTGCATTGTAGTACTTGGAGAGTTTTGAGAGATTCGAAAATATGCCTCTCCTCGGTTCGCACATGAAGTACCTCACGCCATTCACACTGCCATCGTTCTTCCCAACTGCAGAGTCTAACACCACCCCTGCCCAGCACCCACTCGAGAACTGTACCTCCCCTATGTACGCTATTATACCCGGCTTGATGCCACCCACAAATACTCGATCACCTATCTTGAAATCATCTGCTTCACCACCTTGCAAATGAATGGTCAAAGAAACATTACAAATTCATCTAATTTGTTTGAAAATTTTGTTCAAACATTATTAATTTCACTAATTTCAAATTGAAAAGCATGCAATTGATCAAACTTTAAATCTGCAATTAAATAAATGAATAAATCAGACTATAAAATTACTAACTATGGTTTACTAATTGTTGTCTGGTCAATGGCACTGGACTGTTTCGAGCTGCTGAACTCAAATAAGGTCTCGACATTCTCCCAGATATCTTTCATTTTTATTATTTTTTTATTTTCATTTATTTAATATTAATTGCTTATTTATTTATTTCCAATATATATATATATATATATATATATATATATATATATGTATATATATATATATATATAAAAGTGATATTAATTTATGAAGTGATAGAAAATGTGATGCTTTAGGACACAGCTTCCTAAGCTCTTGAATAAAAAATGGCATGATGAATATTATTATAAGAAAGATAACTAAATAAAAAATGCAGGTTATTGTAGCTGCTACAATGTTACTATTGCCAACATTATATTACCTTACATTACTTTTTGATTTGAAAATAAATATATTATAAAATAATCAAATTGTTTAACAATTCATATCCAGTCCACTTTTTATGAAATTAATTAAAATAAATATTAAATTCATCAGTTTATTCATGGATGTCTAGTCCAGCTAGTCTTAGTCTATTAAACACACAGTTTTACAAACTTTTTTAAATTTAAATTTTTATTTTTTAGCTTAGCCTTAGTCTTACTCTTAGCCGTTTTAAAAAATGATCAGTTTACTTTACATTAAAAGTTCCTCATTAATCATTAAGTTAAACATTTATTAACGTTTGCTAATCTTATTAAATTAAATTAAATTAAAAATGAAAATAAAATTTACTTAAAAATTCAAAAATGGATCAGTAGTATTCTAAAAGAATCCTAATAAAAAATTGCGATAAAAATTTTTAAATATAAAAATAAAACACGTTAAATAAGAGGATAATAAACCAACCAGAAGTAGATTTTATTGAAAATAAAAATAAATTAAATCTCGGACCATAACTGAAAAACGAAGATAAACATAAAAAAAATTAAAAGCCAGTTAGGAGAGGAATGAACATTAACCGATGATTCTAACGGATCAAAGAATCATAAATCTACTGCAGCCTGAATTTACTTGGAATTTAACTGCACTCTAACTACTTGATTGCATGCATTTTAAAGATTTTGGAGTCTATAAATTATATATACATGTTTGGTTGAAAAAAATGGTTAAAGGTCTATTGCACTCTTCCTGAAGTGAATTGTGAGTGACAGTAAATATTGAGATTAAAAAATGAAATTTCAAGATAACTATTTAATCCAGTTTACTACAATTAAACAGGAGATTTTGACGGAACTTGAAATAGAATAGTTAACGATTCTCAAATAGCTAGAGGCCCATCTAATTATAAACCTGATAGATGCTAGAACCATTATATCTTATCTCTGTAATCGTTTTTCTTCTGTTGTTCTCAATAATTCTACTTCTAACTCCTCTACTCTTACTTTCGGGGTACCTCAGGGTTCTATCCTTGGCCCTCTTCTATTTATACTCTATACTTCTGAACTACCTCGTATTATTAATAACTTTTCTTTCTCTAGTCAACTATATGCTGATGATTCTTATATTTATACTTCTTTTCCTCCATCTAATCTCAATAGTGTTCTTCATAATTTATCTCTATGTCTTTCTTCGATTATCGCTTGGTCTGACTCTATGTGTCTTAAACTTAATCCTTCTAAGTTTGAATTAATTTGTTTTAATAAATCTAAACACTCAATTACTATTCCTCCTATTATCTTACCTGATTCTAAAACTCTTGATGTCTCTCATAAGTTTCGTAGTCTAGGTTTTATCTTTGATTCTACTATGTCTCTCTCTTCTCAGATTAATAGTGTTGCTAGAAGCTCTTACTTTCATCTACGTAGAATAAAAAAACTTTTGCCTTTTCTTGATGATCCTACTCTTCTCCTTCTTGTTACTTCG